AGTTTTCGTTTACTTTTCGCTTCCTGGCCAGCGTTTGATAAGGTCCTATGACTCTGGCGACAGGGTTTGAATCCCTGTTGAGCCATGGAAACCCACTGGGTGACTTTGGGCAAGTCACACACTCCCAGCCTCAGAGGAAGGGCAAACTACCTTCTGATGAAATATTGCCAAGAAAACTTCATGACAGATTTGCCTTGGGGTCACCATAAGTCTTTGAACTTGAACAACCTGAAGCTATATAACAACAGCAAGGCTATATTCCAGAGGAAGGAACTGGTAAAACTACCTCTGAGAATTCTCTGCCCAAGAAAACCCTATGTAATTCATGGGGTTGCTATAAGTTGACAGGTGATCAGAAAACACATACAGACACAAGCTACAAGATGAGAGCCTGCCTACATACCCTGAAGGCACCAGATTCTCTCTGATTTTGGAAGCTAAACAGGGTTAGAGCTGTAGGAAACAACTTGGAAGTCATGTAACAACAACAACAAGGCTATATTTCAGAGGCAGGAATTGCCGAAACCATCTATGAGTATTGCTTACCTGAGAAAATCCTATGAAATTCATGAGGTCTCCAAAAGCTGACAGGCGACTTGAAGGCATGCACAGATACACCAATAGAGTTGATGGGGGAAAGAGGGTGGGGTGGAGAAAAATATTAAAAACTGAAAGGAGATAATGGGGAGGAATGAGGGGAAACTATTTTAGAAAGACTTTTAAAAGTGTACATTAGCTGATTTTTTATAGTAGTGCTTGGGACACAAACCACAAATATTTAGTGTGCCACGTACACGAATGAACAAAAGAAAACAATGAAATAAGCAAAGGCTGTGAAAAAGTAAAGTATGATGAGGGAAATTAACTGTAGTAGAAATAATTTAGTTGAGTTAAACGAGGCTCATAATCACAGCTCTGAGTGTTCCTTGCCACAGAAAACCCTAATGAAGTTCATGGGTTACCCATAAAGCAAGATAAACTCTCTGGCTGAGAAGTCTAGATGCCCTCCCTCAAATGCCACAGAACAGGACCGTGTCAGTTAAAATGGAACAACAGTGCTATAAATGGGCAGTGTGAATGGGCCCCTGAACTGGCAGTGGGTGACCAGGGCTGCTGGCGTATATACTGTGTGCTTTCAAGTCATTTTTGACTTACACAACCCTGAGGCCAACCTATCATGTGGTTTTCTTGGCATGATTTGTTCAGACGAGGTTTGTCATTGCCTTGACTTGAGGCTGAGAGTGTGTGACTTGGCCAAAGTACCCAGTGGGTTTCTATGGCTGAGCTGCGATTCGAACCCTGGCCTCCAGATTCGTAGCCCAATGCTGAAACCACTCAGCCATACTGTGGTCTATTTGCAGCTATATTACATGTTGTTGTGTGCCTTGAAGTCATTTCCGACTTATGGTGACCCTAAGGAGAACCTATCATGGCGTCTTCTTGGCAAGATTTGTTCAGAGCAGTCCAGCATTCAAACTCTGCTCGCAGAACCGCCTCCAGAGTCGTAGTCCAACACTTAAGCCACTCCTCCACGCTGGCTCTATGGCAGGGGTAGGCAACCTTTCCGCTTTAAGGGCCGAGGGACTTCAGCTCCCAGAAGCCTCAGCCATGTTGGCCAATAGTCCCATGTTGGCCAATAGCTCCTGTGATTCTGGGAGCTGAAGTCCCTCAGCCCTTAAAGGGGAAAGGTTGCCTACCCCTGCTCTATGGGCTTCTGGAGGCCTCCATAAATCGAAGCCGGCCTAACGGCCGAAACGAACAACGGCAAAGATGCATTAAATCGGAGAACCGCCCCGGCCTCCCTCTGTCCCCACAAAACGAAGCGCCTTCGCTCTTCGTTTGTCCCTCTCCGCCCTCCGTTTCCCAGGCCCAGCCTGTCCTCTGTCTGAGGGAAGGATACAATAGGCTGCACCATCACCTTCTGCACTTTCTGGCCTTGCCCGCGGTACGCCATGGCGGGGAGCTGGAGCGGGAAGCACCGCAGACAACCGACGACGGCACGGAAAAGCGCCTCAGGGCCGCCAACGACACCACTCCTCACGCACGCGCGCCCTGACTGACGATTCCCCGACGTGAGACACGGACTTCCGTTCCAGACCGGAAACAACGTCGGCGTTCCTTTTCGCTCACAATGACCGGATTGCGGACGGGTCACGTGGCTCGGTGCCGTCTCCCTCCTCCTCCTCCTCCGCCATGATGCTTCCGGGCAGAGTCGGCGATGCCTAGGGACGGGCGCCATCTTGGAGGAGGGCAGCGGCGGTGGTTCTAAAATCGACGGTTGAGGCTTTAACGGCGTTCCAGTCGGAAGAAGAAAGCATTGTCGTTGTCAGGACCGTCGGCTCGGTTGTTTCAGCAGCGGCTCCTTCTCGGGGGTTCGGTAAAATCCCTGCGCGCGGGTGAGGAGGGCCTGGGCCCCCGCTTCTCCCTTTCTCTTTCCCCGGGTGGGGCCTCCTGGCGCTGACGGGGTTTTCCTAGGCCCCAAACCCCGGCAGTTGGCCTCGGGGTCCTTCCCCTCCCGACGCTTCTTGCCCCGCTTCTTTATAGGAGAGCCTTCCTCTCTCCCTTCGCCCGAGAAATATGCCTCTTTGGCTTCCTCCCAGCCCTTTCTTGCCCGGTCTCCATGTCGGGAGCCTACACTGGGGCCAGCAGGGTGAGCAGAGGCCCTCACCGCCAAAAGGAGGGCCGTCAACAACAAACGGAGGACGTGAGCTAATTCAAAGCTGACAAGCGCTCCGAGATACACAAATTCGTGTTTCTGAGCCGTGCTCAAAACGGAGGACGTTTGGGAATTCCTCCTGGTGATGAAATTGAGGGCATGTCCTGGAAAAAGAGGACGTCTGTTCACCCTAATTAGCTGGACTTGGGCAAGTCACACTCTCTCAGCCTCAGGGGAAGGCCATGGCAAATCTCTTCTGAACCAATCTTGCCAAGAAAACCCCATGATAGGGTCGCCTCAGGGTCTCCATTAGTTGGGGACGACTTGAATGCCCATAGCAACACACACATCCTTGTCATCTCTCTCTGTTTTGACTCCCCTGCTCTACCAAACCGACCCTGGCCCTCCTTTCCCTCCTCTTCTGCTCCTTAAGATTTGTCAGAATAATTCTCTATTTCCTCCCACTCCCGAGAAGCTTGCCGCTGTCTAATAAATACAAGGACAGGGTTAATTGGATGTAACTCCCATGGGAACGAGGGGAGATCCCAAAGTACATGATTTCCTGGATCCCAAACAATTTCCCCATCTGAATTTATGAAGCCCCGGGATTTTATATACCCTGGCAATTATTTTCACTCTCTAGCACTCAGAAAACAACAAAAGTGGGGGTAACTGGTTATCTTATTGGCCTGGATTCCTATGCTGTGGGTAACCAGTCAGAAACCAATGTTTACAATAATATTTTAAAATCATATTGCCATTTTTTACCATACAAAACACAGTCTTTGGTCGCGTCCAGTTGGTGGCATTGGTGGTTCAGTTTAGAGTCTGACCATCTGCCACTGAACTAACACTACTGTGTTAGTTAATAGCCTTGGGGAGAATCAATTTGAAAAGTCTGAAAATGTTAGGAAAATAGTTTCCTCTGGTCTGGTCTAACAGTGAATGAAAGCATCTTGTTAAAAATTATGGAAAGGAGGGATTAAAGCAGGGGTAGGCAACCTTTTTGAGCCAGGGGCCGAGTTGCTGTCTCTCAGACAATTGGGGGGCCGAAGCACCAAAAATAGATAAATAAAAATTAAAATTAAAAAATATTTCTTTTAAAAAATATATGCATGCACACTGTCTCAGTCCCAGAAAAGCCATGGCAAAACCCCTGTGGAGATTTTGCCAAGAAAACCCCAAGAACAAGTAATAACAACAATAATCAATATCATCATGGCAGGCGGCGGCAGGACCAGCCTGGGGCCGGTCCAAAGGCCTCAAGGGGCCGCATCCGGCCCCCGGGCCTTAGCCTACCCCTGGGTTAAAGAGTAAGACCAACTGCACAGTTCGGTAGCACTTGTTTTGGTGCAGGTACTCCGGTGTTTCCTGCCTCAAGTGTTTCCTGTCTAAAATTGAAGGACAACACATAGCTTTCCAGATAATTCCTAGTGTTCCTTGCCATTGATTATGCTGGTTAAGGCAGCTGGAAATTGCACCCTAACAACAGCTGGAAGGGGAAAAAACAAAATTAGCAATCTCAGAGATGATGACTGGCCTATTTCAACCATCTTCCTGGACAGCAGAAGGTATTAGCAACTTGAAACACATTTCCAAAATGCATATCACAGAGAGGTGGCTGTATCCACACTGACTCCCAGTATACCTATTGAGGTGAAGTATCTGTTTTTAATGAGTAGTGTACAGCCCTGGTGGCGCAGTGGTTAAATGCTTGTACTGCAGCCACTCACTCATAAACCACAAGGTTGCGAGTTCAATACCAGCCAGGGCTGAGGCTCGATTCAGGCCTGCATCCTTCCGAGGTCGCTAAAATGAGTACCCAGATTGTTGGGGGGCAATCAGCTCACAGTTGTAAACCACTTAGACACCCATAGTGTGGTATGAAGTGGTATAAAAATGAAGCTGCAGATACGTGAAGAACTTGCTTTGGTCCCCTTACATAGGCAACACCCTGCAATGCACACATCTTTTTCACTGAACTGTAGCACAACTGATTATCAGCACAACTGTGATAACTGACAATGAATGGAGCAGGAGCAGATCTTTATTTTATAGAAAATGTTTCAGTTGTGGTGTGACACTGCAGAATGTAATCATTCCAGCCCCCTCAACTTTACTATCACTTTTACATGTTAAGCTCCATTGCTTATCCTGCTAAGATTGAAAGAAGATTGCAGCTGAAAAAAAAATGGAGCTTACCATAAAACAAACAAAGACATTCAACAGATTTATTTTTTTAGTTTATTTCCTAATGTACCCTGCTTTCAAAGAGTTACGAAAACAGTAGCAGGAATTGCTTGCTATATCATTTTTTTCACAAAGCAACATTGGTTGATTTGTACTATAAAATGAGAGGGAGAGGCCTCTGAGGAAAGCTGTAAAGAAGCAAAAGTTGAGTTAGCTTTTCACTGAATTCTGAAAGTACAAATATGGGAGTTACACATTAATTTTTGTTGTCACAGCATATGGGCATGTGTGAACACTAGTTACTGTCAAGTCTTGTTCCACAAATCATAATGCTATTCAGAGGTTTCTACTGCTTCAGATGTTTTTACTGTAAATGACAGGGAATTATTAGATCCCATCAGCTATATAAATAGTCACAACATTTCAAAGAACAATTCTTTGGCAGCTTTGTTTAACAGAAACCCTTCCATAGATCAGTGCAGGAAGCCTATACGTTGTCTGGCATTGGAGCAAGTAATCATTTCTGTAGCTACTCTTTTTGTAACTTGTTCTATGGATGTCAGTAAAATAAATTTCTTGATCTCTAAACCTTAGATCAGTTCAAATTTTTATAACATTGAACAGGTACCCTAAGATAAACCTGAGAATCTTAAATTTTATATTAAATTTAAATTATATTTGTGTATAATTTAGGATCCCAGTAGGCATGATATTATTGCCAGTGGCTGTTATTTCTGTTCTTTAGAACAGTTTGAGGCAAAGATGAAAGCGCTATGCTCTAGTGTATTTTATCCTTAATTCCACATCATCTGAAGAGCCACATGATTCCCATGCTTGGCTTAAACCAGGGATAGGCAACCTAAGGCCCGGGGGCCGGATGCGCCCCCCCGAGGCCTTTGGACCGGCCCCAGGCCGGTCCTACCGCCGCCCCCCCCGCTGCCGCCACTGCCCACCATGATGATATTGATTATTGTTGTTATTATTTGTTCTTGGGGTATTCTTGGCAAAATCTCCAATGGGGGGGGGGGGTTGCCATGACTTTTCTTGGGTTGAGAGAGTGTGCATGCATATTTTAAATTTTTTTAATTATTTATTTATTTATTCATTTATTTTTGGTGCTTCGGCCCCCCAATTGTCTGAGGGACAGCATCCCGGCCCCCAGCTCAAAAACATTGCCTACCTCTGGCTTAAACTGTTCAGTGTTTATATTGCTACAGGGACCTTGCATTTTTCTCAAATGTTAGCTGATAATCATATGGTTCTTTAAAATCTCTTGGACCATTTGAACTCAAAACCATCAGCTCTAGCAAGGTCATCTCTGTTATTTTTACAGGATGAGATGACAGGTGTATTAGAAACTCCCTCCCCACATGAGAGACAAAACAAAAAGGGAAATTAGTTAGTATAGCAAAGTATAGTTTGTTTGGTAACACAGAGTAATAGAGGTATGGTAAAGAGTAGTAATATGAATTTGGGAGAATCTTGCTGTTCAGGGCAGATTTC